GGAGGGAGGCAGGGAAAAGGGAAGGAAGAGGAGGGAGGGAAGGAAGGAAGAAAAGGAAGCAAGGAAGGGGAGGGAGGGAGGGAGGGAAGAAGGAAGGAAGGAGAGAGGTGGCAAAGGAAGGAAGGAAGGAGGGAGGGAGAGAGGGAGGTGGCGAAGGAAGGAAAGGGAGGGAGGGAGAGGAAGGAAGGAAGAAAAGGAAGCAAGGAAGGAGAGGGAGGGAGCAATGAAGGAAGGAGGGAGGGAGGGAGGAGAGAGGGAGGTGGTGAAGGAAGGAGAGGTAGGAAAGGAAGCAAGGAAGGGGAGGAAGGGAGGGAAGAAGGAAGGAAGGAGAGAGGAGAGAGCTGGCAAAGGAAGGAAGGAAAGAAGGAAGGAAGGAAGGAAGGAAGGAAGGAAGGAAGGAAGGAAGGAAGGAAGGAAGGGTTATCAAAATACATGTTATTTGGATACTCTTTCCTATTCCTCGCCCTCAGTCTCTAATACACAGATATAAGGGGGAAAACGAATACGTTTGCCTTCCTGCAAGCAAATGAGAATTAGCCCCAAATCTCTAGTATTTCATTCTACACCAAAGAAGAATGGTCAAAAGGAATGGTAGGATCTACTTTCCTGAGGACGGAGCCTCAAATAATGTTTTGATACCTCCTCTGGCTTGTCTTCAAGGCCCAGCATTAGGCTAGTCGACTTCAAAGCCTTCGCAGGACTTCCAGAGGCAGCTGCCTCACGCCAGCCATCAAAAAAAGCCATATTCCAGCTTTCGTTGGCTAATGAGATTTGGTTGCTGCGGCTGCTGGTTGAAAGGAAAGAGGTGGAATTAGCAGCGGGGATAACTCAGGAGGGTTGCAAATGGGGGGCGGGGAGAAACCCACTGTAAACAAGGCTGGGTGATTGTATAATAATAGCTTTGTGAGGAACCCCTGGATTTGGCTGGCTTCGGCATCACTGACTCCAGGGGTGGGAAGCACGTTGAGGGATTCCCGAGACGATCAGCGGAAGGATTGCACATTATTTCATGAAGATGTTCCTTTTTAGCTGATGTTTATCGGCATAGTGGGGGCAAAAAAATGATACGAATTTTGGGGCATTGTAGCTCATCTGACTTTGGATACATCCTCAGGATGCCGTAAGCTGGCCTCGAATGTCTTGCTACATGGAGCAGCAGATGACAGATCCGTGGGTTATCAGTGTTGTGGCCAGTGGAGCTGGCAGCAGAGTCAGACAGTAAGGAGGTTGGGGAGGAACTTGGGCCGGTCCTGTGGGCTGGGGAAAGCTCGGACGAGGGCTCTGCATCGGAGGAAGAGAGGGAGTTAGCAGTGAGGCAGAGGAACAGCTGGAGCCCGTTCCCAGTGTGCGCATGCACAGAGCTGCTAGAAGACAAGAACAACTCAGAAAGCAGGGTCAACTCAGGAGTAAAGCCACACCTGGGAGATGATTGGCCCCTCCCATAGGAAACAAAAGAGGAGCGAACGGGGAGTGGGCTTTTGCAGGAAACAATTCGTTCATTCCGTGACTCTGAGAGACTCTGTGCCAAGTTTTGCCTCCTACTTTGGTTGGAAACAAGTTACGTGGCAGCTTGCCAAGTGAGATAAGGTGTGTTGAGAAATATTCCTTTGAAAAACTGTTTGGGCAAACCTTGCTGACTGTGAATGAACGTAGTTCACAGTCGTGTAAATAAAAGAGGTTTTGCCGGGACCAGTTCCTGCTTCCTGCTTTTTAAGGGAGCCCTAAGTCAGAACAATCAACAGAAGGTGATTCATCAACTCAGATTCTATCCAGTCTACACCGCTGAACATGGTCCTAAGTGGACAAAGCTAAAGGCAAGTCAGCTGGGATCATCAGAGGCTTAAAAAAAAGAAAGAAAGCCTCTGCTGATCAGGCAAGTCAGCTGGGATCGTCAGAGGCTTTAAAAGCATTTTTTTTTACAACCTCTTCAGCCGAAGAGGTTGTAGAAAAAATGGTTTTAAAAGTTAAAAAAAAAAAGTTGGCCACGCCCACTCAGTCATATTACCCCCTCCCCACCAAGCCACGCCCACAGAACCAGTAGTAACAAATTTTACATTTCACCACTGACTTATGACCATTGCAGCATCCCCAAGGTTATGTGATCAGAATTAAGACGCTTGGCAACTGGCATGTACTTATGACGGTTGCAGTGTCCCGGGTCATGCGATCCCTTCTCGCAATCTTCTGATCGAGCAAAGTCAACGGGAAAGCCAGGTTCACTCAACAACCATCTGCCGTGATTCACTTAACAACGGTGGCGAGAAGGGTTGCAAAATCCACTTAACAACTGTCATGCTCCACAAGGGGAATTTTGGGATCGGTTGTGGTTATAAGTCAAGGACTACGAGTGCACAGTTTTCCAAAGACAGCATCCAGCAAATTTCAGACAATGCACCTCCAGGCTGGAAATTGCTAACCTGGAACTAAAGCGTGCCTGAAAGATTTATCAGGACTCCGAGGAAAGCTTCCATGGAGAATTTAATCAGCTGCTAATTTAAGGCTTTCCTGATGTGTGACGTTTAAATATGGCCCTTCCTTCTATAAATACCTTTTGATTTATTATCTGTTGGGAGTGACCCAAGCAGAGTTCACAAAGCTTATCCAGGTGGCTGCATACCGTTCACGCCTCCGGTTTGCTTATCGACTAAAAAAAATCATCCAATCTGGCAGTTCAAAATCTAGAAAAAAGATGATTTTTTTTCTTTAAAAAAAAAAAAAACCCTACCATATCACCCTTTAAAAGATAGGGTGACAGAGCCTAGAAAGAGAATAGATCCATGGCAAAAGATCGGGGTAGGGGGTGGGACAGGAGAGGGGAACTGAATCTCAAATTTATGGAATTTAATTTAGGTTTCAAGTCGATCCGGAAATACACCAAACCCGTAAAACGCATCAATAGAACAACTTCCTGTTTATTTCAAAGTCGCTATTTATTTCCTGACAATTTGATAGCAATGTTTAGAGGGGATTTAAGAGGCACAGCCAAGGATGGTGGCTGCTGGGGTTCGGGAGAACCTCTAGCTAAGATTCTGTGCAGTTCGGAGAACCCCCAAATCCCACTCCTGGCTGGCCCCGCCCACCTCACCCCTCCCCTCCCAGGAGTCCCCACGCGGCCCGTTTTGGATGCAGGTAAGTGCAGGCTGCACACAGAGGCTTGGGGAAGGCAAAAAACGGGCCTACCCGAAGTTCAGGAAGGCTGGAAACGGGCCTGTTTCTGGCCTCCAGAGGGCCTTCGGAGCCTGGGGAGGCCATTTTCGCCCTCCCAGAAGCTCGAAAAAAGCCTCCGGAGCCCAGGGAGGGCAAAAACACCCCCCTCCTGCCGTGGTGCAGGAGGCCGACTAGGCCACACCCACCCGGGCCACGCCCACCCAGAAACCGGGCAGAGAACCCCTTGCTAAAATTTTTGAAGCCCACTCGGCACAGCCATCTCGTTGGGATTTTCTCTTCGCAGTCTTACGGGGTGAGCTGGAAAAATTATTTTCCCCTCTAAAGATAGTCCCATAAAAATAAAATAAAATTTTATTTCATAGCCGCCGCCCCCCTCCCCTTCCCCAAATCAGCAAATTTCCCACTCGTGGGTCTTTTCTGTATTCATTTGGTGGGCTCGATTAATATATATATAATTCCATGACCTCCGTTGATGCCCTGCTCTAAATAAAAATAGATTGGGTGGGCTTGTAATTTTGACAGATTTCTTCAACAAAAGGCCACTTAACCACTTTCTTTTTAGAGCCACCCAGCCATTTAAGGAGCCAGTTCACTTCCTCCTCCCCTTCCCACCCTCCAAACTTTTTGCATCTCCTTCTTCCAAATGGAAACAGAACAGGACTGATAAATTCAAACCTATTAGCGCACATTACTGGGATAATGTGAAGATTTGCTGGCGGAGGGCGGAGGGGTGGGGGAAGCATGTGCCATCTCGTAATGGCATAATCACTTTGCATTGATTTTTAGCTGAGGTTTATTGGCTCCATTATCATCAATAAAGTCTCCTGCTCTGCTTGCAGCCAGAGAATATGGACGTCAATAAGGACTTTCTGTTCTTACGGTAGTTCCTGCTGCAAAATTAGCAGGACTCTTCCTCTTGAATAACCTTTCTGGATGCCGAAGGTGAAAGGAAGCAACAGGAAGGTATAAAAAGATAACTGGGGGGGAAAAGGACTAGGGGGGATATGATAGCAGTTGTTCCAATATCTCAGGGGCTGCCACAAGAAGAGGGGGTCAACCTGTTCTTCAAAGCACCTGAAGGCAGGGCAAGAATAGAGTAGAGTAGAGTAGAGTAGAGTAGAGTAGAGTAGAGTAGAGTAGAGAATTTTTATTGGCCAAATGTGATTGGACACACATGGAATTTGTCTTGGTGCATACGCTCTCAGTGTACATAAAAGAAAAGATACGTTCATCAAGAATCATAAGGTACAACACTTAATGACAGTCATAGGGTACAAATAAGCAATCAGGAAACAATATCAATATAAATCATAAGGATAGAAGCAACAAGGTTACAGTCATAGAGTCATAAGTGGAAGGAGATGGGTGGTGGGAATGATGAGAAGATTATTAGTAGTGCAGACTTAATAACTAGTTTAACAGTGTTGTGGGAATTATTTGTTTAGCAGGCGTTCGGGAAAAAACTGTCCTTGTGTCTAGTTGTTCTGGCGTGCAGTGCTCTATAGTGTTGTTTTGAAGGTAGGAGTTGAAACAATTTATGTCCAGGATGTGAGGGGTCTGTAAATATTTTCCGAGACCTCTTTTTGACTCCTGCAGTATACAGGTCCTCAATGGAAGGCAGGTTGGTAGCCATTGTTTTTTCTGCAGTTCTAATTATCCTCTGAAGTCTGTGTCTGTCTTGTTGGGTTGCAGAACCAAACCAGACAGTGATAGAAGCGCAGATGACAGACGCAATAAGTGATGTAGATTTAAACCTGAATTGTTTTTATTAGGTATAATATCAGAAAAACATGAGAAGAAAAGTATGTATTTAGTATTCTATGTCTTAACAGCAGCGAGGATTGTTTTCACACAACACTGGAAAAATGAAGCTATACCACGAGATGAAGAAATAGTCAAGAAGATACTACATTGTGCAGAAATGGATAGATTGACATTGACAATTAAACAGAAAGAGGATGTAGAATATTATCCAACGTGGAATTTATTTTACCAGTGGTTGGAAAAAAGGGCTGGAGATTAAGAATGTAATTTGTGTTGTTAAGCAAATTAAATACTCAGATAACACGATGTTTATGAAGCTCTAAGAAATGTATTTAATAGAAAATCAATAAAGTAAAATACAAAAAGAAGCCATGGATGGAAGCTAATCAAGGAGAGAAACAGCCTGGAATTAAGGAGAAACTTCCTAACGGTGAGGACAATTAACCAATGGAACAGAAGATGCCTTCAGAAGTTTTGGGTGCTTCAACACTGGAGGTTTTTAAGAAGAGACTGGACAACCGCTCATCAGAAATGGTATAGGTCAGTGATGGCTAACCTTTTTGCTGTCAAAAGCGGGGGGACCATGGGGGGTGTCATATGTGCATGTGCTCATACCCATAATTCAATACCCCCCACGGCCTGCCCCCCGCGCATGCGCATGTGCCCCCCCATGCTCCCTACGCTTTTGGCACGCAATGGCACGGTGGGCACGGTAGGCCCATTTTTCGCCCTCCACAGGCTCCAGAGGCTTTCTAGGAGTCTGGGGAGGGCGAAAACAGCTTTCCCCTCCCCCCCGGAGGCCTTCTGGAGGTCGGAAACAGCCCGTTTCCTGACTTCCGGTGGGCCCAGAAGGCCCGAAAATCAGCTGGCTGGCATACGCATGTGCGCTGGAGCTAAGCTAGGGCAACACTCGTGTGCCCACAGATATGGCTCCGCGCGCCACCTGTGACACGTGTGACATAGGTTCGCCATCATGGGTATAGGTGCTTTAATTGCTTGGCTAGGGGGTTGGACTAGAAGACCTCCAAGGTCCCTTCCAACTCTGTCATTCTGTTATAAATCACCCTGGGTTCAAGAGTGGAAACCTGGCCAACATTTTTTTTTTTTAAATTTGATTTATATGCCGCCCTTCTCCGGAGACTCAGGGCGGCTTACAATGCGTTAAGCAATAGCCTTCATCCTTTTGTATATTTATACAAAGTCAACTTATTGCCCCCACAATCCAGGTCCTCATTTTACCTACCTTAGAAAGGATGGAAGGCTGAGTCGACCTTGAGCTTGGGGAGATTCGAACTTACAGTAATTGCAGGCAGCTGGTCTTAATCACAATGCTTTTAGTCTGCTGAGCCACCAGGCAAGATTTGATCTTGGTTATGTTGGATGGGCATATTGCTCAGAATTGGTGCATGTCTGCTCTGGATCTGAATCTACTTCTTTGTGGGGTGGGCTTAATTTGTGAACTAAAATGTAAGGTATCACGCTTTTCCCAAATTCTCAAATTCCAACTTGTCCTTGACTTACGTCCATTTGTTTAGTGGTGAAACAAGTGACTTCTGGCTGCTTTTCACCCTTACAACCATTGCGGCATCCCCAAAGTCACATGCTCAAAATTTGGGCAACTGACATGTATTTATGACGGTTGCCCTGTCTTGCTTAGCAACAGAAAGGTTGAGTTCAACTGTGGTCATAAATTGAGGACTGCTCATGCCAGACAAAGGCAAATCTTGCCACATCAGAAAGTTTCTGCAATTATTTTCAAAGAAGCTTCAAAAGCAAATTCTCGCTCCCAAAAGCTGAATGAGAACTGGTCCGGGGGAGGGACGGATGGACGGATGGGGGACGATGGTCTTAAGATTGTGTGTGTGTGTGTGTGTCTGATGCTAGATGGACTATTGGGACCTGGTTTGTTAAGGTATGTTGGCTTAAAAGTTAGCCGTGTCCTATTTATGGAACAAAACCCTCCAGGACCCTTTGCACTTCGACTGAAGTTTGAATTATTAGCCATCAATCCCCGTTGTTCTTTCAAGGTCTCCTGCCTGAAATAAGGAGAAGACCCCTCCCCCAGCTCCATTCCAAGTCTTTTAGGGCTGCAACAGACTTGGGAGGAGGAGAATGCTCTGGCCCTGCCTGTCTGCATAGCGCCAGCCGATCGGTCACTGACGCAGAGCAGCTCCAGCGTCATAAAGCAGAACGTAAGTTATGGCACTGCAGTGTCCTTTCATTCCGCTCTTGAGTAAGTTGGCGGGGGTGGGGTGTAGGCGAGCATGATGCTGAAGAAAGAGCCGGACTACAGCTCCCAGCAATGCTAGGAATTCCTGCCAATGTTGAGGAATGGTGGGAATTGCAAGTTTGGCAACACCTAGAGCCGTGATGGCGAACCTATGGCACATGTGCCACAGGTGGCACACAGAGCGGACATGCAAGCCATTGCCCCAGCTGAGCTCCGCCACGCATGCACGCGCGCCTCCAACCAGCCAGCTGGTTTTCAGGTCTCTGCCGCGCATGGGCAGGGGTGGGATGCATGCGTGGGGGGGGCAGGGTGCACACGGGGGTTGCACATGCTTGTACAGGGGGCAGGGGGCACATGGGGGTGCATGCGCACACACGGCGGGGCGGGGACAGGGGGGCGTGCGCACATTATATGATGGGTGTGTCCACACACGCTTTCGGCACTCGATGCCAAAAAGGTTAGCCATCACAGATCTAAAAAGAATGCAAATTTATTTATTTGTTTATTTATTAGTTCAATTTATATGCCGCCCTTCTCCGTAGACTCAGGGCGGCTTACAATGCACTTATAGCAATAGCCTTCATTCTTTTGTATATACCTGCTTATTAGGGCTTTTGCCCCACCCCCCATAAGTGGTGTTTCTACAAAGTCAGCTTATTGCCCCCACAATCCGGGTCCTCAATTTACCTACCTTGGAAGGATGGAAGGCTGAGTCAACCTTGAGCCTGGTGAGATTTGAACTCGCACTAATTGCAGGCAGCTAAGTGCTACATAACAGCACTTAGTCCACTGCACCACCAAGGCTCTTGACCAGCTGCCTGCAAGGAATATCAATCCTTCCATTCCCCACCATCCAGTCAGAGCTGAAGAAGCTTCTTGGATGAGAAGCGAAACGTCTTCAAAAGAAAAACCAGAAAGTCCATCTTCCTCTTGAAAAAAAGCACCTTTGGGACATTCATTTAGTGACCAACAGCCCTGAAAAATGGGATGTGACTTTTTCCACCCTTAAACCATTGCAGCATCCTTAAGGATCAAAATTCAGATGCTTTTTGAATTTTGACGTGGTCAAAATTCAGATGCTTGGCAACTGGCATGTATGTATAACAGTTTTTAGATTTCTCAGTCATGCTACTTAATCAACTTGAGTGAGCTCGGAAGCTAAGTGTCAGGGTGGGCCGTGGGTGGTACAGTTCAGCGGTTCGAATCCCGAGTGCCGCGTAACGGGGTGAGCTCCCGTCACTTGTCCCAGCTTCTGCCAACCTAGCCGTTCGAAAGCACGTACAAAATGCAAGTAGAAAATCTAAGAATTCCATGGCTGTTGGCTAGACAGCAGGGGACAATAGCAAACCACTTCCGTAACTTTGTTAAGAAAACTGCATGAATGCAGGCTCAACTTTGGCGTGAGGGCACCTCAATGCACATAGGTAAAAGGTAAAGGTTCCCCTCGCACATATGTGCTAGTCGTTCCCAACTCTAGGGGGCGGTGCTCATCTCCGTTTCAAAGCCAAAGAGCCAGCGCTGTCCGAAGACGTCTCCGTGGTCATGTGGCCGGCATGACTCAACGGCAAAGGTGCACGGAAGACTGTTCCCTTCCCATCAAAGGTGGTCCCTATTTTTCTACTTGCGTTTTTTACCTGCTTTCGAACTGCTAGGTTGGCAGAAGCTGGGACAAGTCACGGGAGCTCACCCCGTTACGCGGCACTAGGGATTCGAACCGCTGAACTGCCGACCTTTCGTTCGACAAGCTCAGCATTTTAACCACTGAGCCACTGCATCCCTTTCTTCAATGCACATACCTGAGAGTAAATCCTGTGGAAATTAATTGTCTTTAGAAGAGAATATTTGTAGCTCAGGGTTGAACGGGGTTCTTGTTTCTTTTCTTGCAGATATTTCATTCAACTAGGTAACATCATCGGTGCTAGAAGGGAGTGGGGTTTACAGAGTAGAGGGGAAAGAGAATGGGAGGAGGAGGAAGACGATGATGACAATGACGTTTGGGATCCTTGGTGCTCCCTCATCTTGGTTGTTTTCTTGCAGACATTTCATTACCCAACTATCTAACATCATCAGGCTAGCACTGAATCATGAAAGAAAACAACGAAGCTCAGAGAGCACCAAGGTCCCCTCAATTATCTTTCCTTACGAGTACATTGCACAGTTGCTTCAACTGTGATTGAGTCGATGCCGGTTTTAATAAACGTCCCACTCCTTGCCTTTTGAATTCCCCTTCTGCAGTTACTCTGCCTTCTTGCTCTGCACAGGGGAAAGCATCCGCCATGCTTGCTCTGAGCCTGAGAGGATCGAATGCACGGCATGTCCTTCAAGACATCCTGGGGACCCTCTGACCCACAGCTGGCCAGGGTGACTGACAGCTGCTCGATCAACGCTCCCTACTGCTCAAGCAGAGCTGAGCCTTTGACGTATTCCCCTTGCACACAGAGCCGGGTGCATAGAGAGCTGTGCTTCTGGTTTGGCGGGAGATGGCCCAGCGGAGATGGGAATCCTGCCTGCGAGCATAACAGACCAAGGTGACAATCCTGGATTGGTCTAGAATATTGAAACAAGGGATAGTTTGGTCTAGTGGTTAGGGTACCAGGCTAAAAATGGGAGTTTTAGTCCTGTCTTAGGTATTCCAGTAGACTGGTTGACTTTGGGCCAATCACCAGGAGACGGTGAGTTCTAGTCCCACCTTAGCCATGAAAGCCGACTGGGTGACTTTGGACCAATCACTAGGAGAAGATAAGTTCTAGTTCCGCCTTAGTCATGAAAGCCTGCTGGGTGATTTTGAACCAATCACAAGGAGACAGTGAGTTCTAGTCCCACCTTAGGCACGAAAGCCAGCTGGGTGACTTTGAGCCAATCACCAGGAGTCAGTGAGTTCTAGTCCTGCCTTAGCCATGAAAGCCGGCTGGGTGACTTTGGGCCAATTACCAGGAGATGGTGAGTTCTAGTCCCACCTTAGCCATGAAAGCCAGCTGGGTGACTTTGGGCCAATTATCAGGAGATGGTGAGTTCTAGTCCCTCCTTAGCCA